ATGAATCACACAAAGCAAACCCCTGACATTAAATCTAAAGGATCCACTCCAAATTAAACAGGGAACTTATGACGGCATGTTGCCACATGGAGGCGCCAACGTACATATTATCGGTCTTTCCGTTCTGCCAGTTTTGCCCATGTTGTTGCATTTCATAGACAGAGATGGGGGGTGATGGTGGGACATGGGTTAAATGAAGTGCAAGCACACCCAGCTCACGCTGAAAGGTCACCGTGTTCCCTGTTCTTCATGACATAGGCTGCGTTTCTCTTTGAAGAGCTGTGTGTGAGTGCTCAGAAGCAGGAAGGAGCCCTTTATTAATCCAGGAATCAACAGCCTTTGATGGCTGGAGATGGGAACAATATGCGTGCGCACACATTTAAGCGTACACTACCACGGCTGTGTGTGATTGCGGCGTGCTTGACATAGCAGTATGATATTTCCAGCATGTAGATGTCTGTACTGTTTCTGTTTAACGGTGACCTAGATTTCTCCAGAGAAATGCGCGTACAGTTACTGCATGTTGTTCACTTCGCTTTTATTGCCGCTCTGTGTTTTTGCTTATGTGTGTTTGAGCATATGAAAGCATGCGCGCGTGGATGTCAGTGCCAGGATCTTTGGGTTTTACAGTTGTCGCCGTCATATTTTCAGAGGCGATGACAAGTAAGCTGCCTTTCAGAAAGTGCAGCCAATTATTGTTTGGTATTTTTATTGGTACAAAAGTGTTTTAAAAATACAAATGATTGTATTTTTATGGTGGTCACACTCCACCCTGGTCTCCTTTGTGTTCTGGAGAAATGATTCCTCTGGCAGAGTTCTAGTTCTCAGTTGGCTGGACGACAGACGGGTCGACCGGGTTTGTGGTTCTCCTCCGGAACAAGCTGCTTTTAGATGACCGTTTTTGCCAGAGACACAGAGCCTGATACTTCTTTCCCGTTACATTAGAACTCAGCTTGTGTTAATTATGTTTAACAGACTACAACTGCAATGCAAAAACACGGTTCCCAGCGGATTTGCAAACACAGCGGACAAATGGAATAAAGTGCTTTGCTGTGTTTCATTTTTTTAGCTGCGTGTTTGAACTCCAACTATCAATAGCATGTTCAGAGTCAAGGTCAGTGAGAGGTATACATCAGCACTCCCACTTTTAATGAGAACCTATTCCTGCAATATCAGCTTTTTGATCAATTTATCAGTCAAAACAGTCAAACAGAGCGCCGTGTGTGTGGGAGACGACTGAGACAGACGTCATGGTTTCTCGAGAGGATACACACTTACTGAAACGGAGAGTCCACATCGCAGTGCCTGGTCTGGAAGATGGCTGCTGTAGGTGGTCCGCTTCCATGGGGAGGTGTGTTTGGTTGGAGAATGGTATGACAGATGCCCAATAGTTCAGTGATAAAAGGCTTCAGTGTGTGCGTGTGTGCATGCATGTGCGTGTGTGCGTGTGTGCATGCATGTGTGTGCGTGTGCATGTGCATGCACGTGTGTGTGCATGAAAGGAAGAGAGAGAGAGATGCGGGAGTTTAGTTTGAGGTCGCCTCATGCACAGGGAGATAAAATGAGCGACTGCTGTTCTCATCATAACAACCGAGCTACTGGAAGAGAGGCCCCCTCTCAGCTGCCCTGCTCCTCGCCTGTCCACACAGGACATTTCTCCTAAGAGTGCGCGATTGAAGTTGGAGAGTTCTGATAGAATTCCTTGCCCTCTTTCCCATATCCGCGAGTCGCTCGGCTCATTTTGATCCGCTGCTATAAGGTTTAAGTTGCCTCTAATGTTTTTCTGCACAATTTCACAGCGGGCCAAGCGACGAGGCTAAATATTTCATCGAGCGGTTGTTATTTTGTAGGACCAGGCCAAAGCAAACTTAAGACTGGTGAAGAATGTAATCATTTATCTAAGGACCAGGGGTGACACGCTCAATTTGGCCTAAAGTAGGGCTCCATGCAGCCCACAGGGACAAGGGTGTGCATGAGTGCATGTGTACTGTATGTTTCGGTGTGTGCGTTTGACAACAAGGCCCCTACAATCAGAGGCCACAAAGTTTGTTTTCATGTATTTCCTCCTTTATTTCTTGCATTTTGTTACAGTCTCGACTAATCTGTCAGCCTTCACCATGAATTGTGTGTTTGTTGCTTTGACTTGCGTGCACTTACATCCCAGTTAAGTAAATAAAAGCACTTCATTCATTTCAAATGAGAGAAACATGAAAGAATGAATGGAGCCACCCACATGCCCCTCCCTTTTCTCACAGTGTCCATCCTAAAATGCCATCAAACACACCCACGGCAATCAGGAATTACTGGGAACTTTATCTCAGTCTGGTAGTGTGAAGCTTTCCCATCATTCCCTGAAGGCTCTAATGTTTCTGTCGGTGGTGGACTAACCTACCAGAGCCTTTAGCTTGGTTGTGTAATGACTGTTATTAACCTATCAAGATCAGCCGAGGGGTCTTGGCTGCTTTTTCCAGCCCTTCTATCACTTTCCCTCAAATTCCAAAACCAAGATGGCTCCCGTAAATCTTCACTCTTGCCCTCCAGGGAGCAGAAAACACCAAAGTCTAGTCTAATTGGATTCATTTGTAAAATAGCTGCAGAGATTTGAGCATTATCTATCTATGCACCCGTGACTGGAATGCAACTTTTTTTTACCCTGCCACTTTTGCAGTAAACTGTGGTCTCTTGGTGCCCGGAGGGCTTTTGAAAAACTGGAATCTCATGTTCATTAAACAACGAATCCCTTTTGTTGTACAACTGTTAGGCTTACAAGCCCTGATCTGACAATGCATCACTTGGGTCACTTGTGTTATTAATCCATAGCAGCGGTGAGGGAATGGGACACTTTGTCTGTTGAAACAAAAACTACTAAAGAAGAACTTCATCTTTTTTTCATGATAATCATATTAATCCAGAATTCAAGGGAACATCAGATGTGCTTGTACAAGTCCCTGTCACCACATTAACATGCATTATCACCAGATGTCCCTTTGAAACTAATTTGTAGACCTCTGCAGTCTCATTGCATGGCGCTGCATCTCCAGCTGCATCTGTTAGTGTTTTGTTTGGTACAGCTCCGAGCGTTTTGTGTTTGTGTGCTTTTGTGTGTGTGCGTCCGAGCTTTTGTTCTGTTTTGCAGATGTTCATCAGATAAAGGCAGCTGAACACCACAACTGACTGTTACACCACCACTTTAGCAACATGAGGTTAACTGCAAGAAGGCAGACGTCCTGCAAGTCAATGGGCTGAATTAACTCTTAGTATAAAGCTACTAAACTGATAAGGCGGATGTTGTTGATGCCACACTGTCTGTTGGACGTAGATTCAAGGAACGGGAGTTGCTGTCCACTCTACTCTCTCTGGCCACTTTGTTAGGTACACCTTGCTACCAGTTTGGATCCCTTTTACTTTTGAAAACTTTCCCAGTTTACACAAATTCAACCAGGTGCTGCGAGCATTTCTCAGAGATTCTGTTTCTTGCTGTCATGTGAGCAGCACAGTCGATCCATGGTGCAGATCTCTCATTACACCACACGTCTAAGGTGACTGTACAGGCGGCTGAGAGGGTCCACGTGTGCCAAAATATCCCCCACACCTCTACTGGCCTGAACTCTCGATAAGCTGGATGAACGCTTTCTTGATTTTTAAGACAAATTCTGAACCCGTCATCTAAATGTCACAGCAGAAATGGAAACTCATTCAGGCACTTTCCCCCCAATCTTCTGTTTTCCAGTTTTTGTGAGCCCATGTTAATTACAGCCTCAGTTTCCTGTTCCTAGGTGACAGGAACGGTACATGGTGGTCAGTCTGCTTGGAGGAGATGCTCTGCTGCAAACTTTGGTTGCAACGAGTGATTATTTGAGTTATTTTGCTTTCTTGTCAGCTGGAAGCAGTCTGTTCGTTCTTCTTTGACCTTTCATGCCATGGGGATGCAATTCACTGCCTATTTTCTCTTTCAGATAGTTCTCTGTAAACCTTAGAGATGGCTGGGTGGGAAAATCCCAGTAGACCAGCAGTTTCTCAAATACTCACACCAGTCTGCCTGGCACCAAAAACAATGTCACTAAAATCAGCTTCCCCGTTCTAATGCTCAGTTTGAACATGAGTGGGGTTGTCTGGATGCCTGTATGCCTTAATGCAACGAGTTGCTGCCATGCAATTGGCTCAGACATTTGTGTTAATAAGCAGGTGAAAAGCTAATAAAGTGACTGAGGGAGGATTTCACAAAACAGCGTGACAGTACGAATACAGCAGCAACACAAAGATACACTATTATAAATGCATAAATAGGTGTTTACACTGATACACATGTTAAAATGTATTTTTAAGTTTTACTGATGATTAAAAATTACAACAGAAATGTTGACAGTGGTGTCTGATAGCGACCCTGTAAAAGCTCAGGACACAAATACAGCAAGAAACTGTAGAAATGACAGAAAACCATCTGCAAAACTTTATCTACACACAGTGATATAAAGAAAAAAAGACAAGAAACACAAGAGCTGTGGTGCAGTAGATTAAAACATACAATAATATTGCACAGCCACAGAGAAGTGCACTGGTGTTTTTACTGTTTCAATACAAGCTTTGCACAGACATACAATAAATGTATTTGCATGCTGTGCTTCCATCTATAATTCTTGTGATGCAAACTGCTGTATCGAGGCTTTCACTGCCGTCTCTGAGACGTCACATCAGGATCGATGACAAAACAGCAGGAAAACGCAGTCAGAAGCTCTACAAACTGCTCAGTGTTTGGATTCCTCTTCTAGATGGGTCCCCAGGGGCCAAAAAGTATTTAAGCGGTTCATGGGTACAAACAATCTCCAGTTGTGAGCCTTCAGTTGGTCACAACTGGGTAAAAATGCTGCTTAACTTTCCAAGTTTGGTCTAAACTTCTGTGTGACTCCATCTGTCATGATGAATATTTTGTGTTTGTTTAACAACAATATCCCACTGATGGGATTTCCTTTGTTTCCACTCTCATTGTTCTTTCTCCGCAGATTGAGAACCTGCTGGAACAGTTGAAGGACAAGGACAAACAGGTGGCTGGATTGAGGGAAAGGGTTCAGGGCCTTCAAACCGACTCCAGCAACACAGACACGGCTCTGGCTACGCTGGAAGAAGCTTTATCAGAAAAGGTAAGAGTGATGGGGAAAGCACTGTAAGTAAGGTGAAAATCATTCTGTTAGTCAACACTCCAGGGTTGAGTTTCAGAGAGATGTCGTCCTGTTTGTTGCTGGTGTAAAGGAAAAAACGCTTGAAAAATGTGAAAGTCGAACTCCGCTGGTTGGTGTGGAGTAATGTGGAAAGTTTTACCCTTTCAGGCGTTTCAGGGAAGCTAGGACATGGCTCATGGTTTAATTAATTTTCATGCTTTACTGTGACTCACAGCCATAATTTAATGACATAAAATCCTAATTTATAGACTTAGACCACACTAGATGTGGTGCTATCTGTAAGCAGTAAGGCAGAGAATGAGGTACTGGTAGAGGTGAACACACACAGAGGATTAGTCCATGTCTGTAACCGGGCGTAGGGAGGGAATGATGTATAGAATGAGGAGGATAAAGGTCTCAAATGTAAGAGAAATGGAGCGATGGAAAAGCTGAGTGGCAGAAGAGGCACAGCCCCGATGGCAGAGGTGGCCTTAGAATTAATGGGGGGAGAGGTGAAGGAATGCAAGGGTGAAGTGAAACATGTTCGTTTTAATAAGGAGAAGAAACAGTGCTGGGCAAATACAAAGATCAGGGCTGGAATAGAAATGCAATAACAGATAACAAAGCTATGCACAGAGTCAAACATCCATACATGTGGCAGACTGTGCACATGTGATGTAAAGTCTCAGTGGGATGTAATCAGTACTTGCTGAGTGTTGTTCTAATATTAGCTTTGTGTCTGATTCTGTGGAGCATCCTCAGTTTCTCTCCTCTTTAATCTATCACAATAAAGGTCTTCAGATAAAATAAGAAAGGACAACTGTACAAATAAACACAATAATTGGGCCAAATGCAGATCTGTAATGCTCCAACATACGACTCAGATTTGTGTGTACAATAACACAGCGAATAAAGCCGTTAATTAAGACAGTGTTGCATGTGTCGACATGAACAGGAGGATACAGTGTAGACACAATCACTGTGCTTAACAGCTGCCATGTGATCCAAGGTCAACCAACCACATGGGGGATAGATGGGCTGCATGTTCGTTGTAAACACTTATTGTCTGTTGTTGTTTTTAAATATGAGAGACCAGCTGGTCACCAGTACAGAGCCTGCTGCCACTCACAGGGAAAGAAATCACCTTGCTGGCCGATGTGCTTCTTTTCTTTTTTGTGTTTAAATCTTTGCACATTGAAAGCCCGTCGAGTTAACGTTGTTCCAGGGGAAAGACGTTCCTGTAAAGAAGCTGAAGCTAATTGTTGCGTTGAATAATGGTGTTATTTTTCTTGTCTACACAAATCTTTAGTGATTTGTTTATGGATTTGCAGTCATGGTTTAATGGTGCCAGCGATCTTTAACTGCAGACCTGCTGCAACAGAGAACGAGTTTGATGTGAATTGCTTTACACAGCATCGCCATGGAGATGTCATATCCTAGTCTAGCTATATATACACTCTGTCTTGAAGTGACTGGCTTGATTTCAGAGGGACTCCATCTCTCCTCGCTGTGTTGCATGTTTAAAGTTGTTGCCAGCTCACATGTGTTGTTACTACAGGCTAAAAAATTATCATCTTGGCGCTGGAGGCTAAAAAATGGTTCCCATTTACATGTTTGTTTGCACAGCAGGCTTAAAGATCGATACGGGTTTACGTTTCGTTGGCACCGGCTGCTGGTTAAGAGTTCACAGTTGGGACAGTTGTGACTGTCCAGCTGTGCTGCAGTGGATGCCACGTTTGTACCTCTGCCACTGAGCATTTGAGCCTTTGCATTTGCTCTTATATATTTCTCTTGGCTTGCAAGAGCAAAACTTGGAGTCCTGCATGTGATTGTGCAGATTTCAAAGAGTTTTAGCTCGTATAGTGTCGCTGTGGAATTATCTGTCAGGCAGTCTGTTTAGACACCGATAATGTGAAAACCAGCCTAAGTGGAGTCAAATACAGGAGTGTTTGACTTCCTGTTCCTCTCTCTGTATGTGTTCTTGTTTATCGCTGTTATTTCCTGATTGTTATTTAATTGGCTTGTAGCCTTTGATTGTATCTATTCAATCACGAAGGGTTTACAGTAAGCTCCCAGCATTTTGTCTGTTAATACATGTTGGTTAATGAGGGTTTCAGTGTATTCGCAGCACGCAGAGCGACACAGCACATAGATGTTTTCACTTAAAAGGGTCTTTTAGCACCTACGTTTGTTTTCGTTGCACACAGCCTTGCATAATGGCACAATAAACTGTAAATCCCTCTTCTGCGCCGGCACATTTGTTTGCCCAGAAACCACTTCTGATGCAGCCTACATATTATTCAGCTGTGATGAGGAGAATGCTGGCAGGCTTTTCAGACTTTGTGGTCAACACAGGGCGTGTGTAACGTGTTTACGAGCACGAGTGTGTGTCTTGCTGATCACAAACTCTGTCACAAACCTGCTCTTGGAGCCAGCCACTAGCCACACTGCTGTGGTTCTAATTAACAGGCTGGGGCACTGTGCCCACGCTGAGCACTGCTCTTTGGTGTGCTTGTCTATGATGTCATATGTGTGTGTTGTTTATTTGTGCACTTGGGCCTCATAGAGCCAGATTTATTATGATACCCTGGTGTCTTTCTCTAAGCCCCACACATCCTCGATATTCATAAAGTGGGCAGGGCCTGTTAGCCAAGCCGTCTCTCTCACGGTCTCCCGCGCCCTCTCCGTGTAGTGATGTCCTGTGCCAGGGCGAGTTAGTGAATGTATTTGTCCAATTACCCGGACTTTAAAGTTGCCAATCATGCGGTGATGCCACGTCGTAAAGTCTCATTGCTGAGCTGTGCTCTGCGCCTAAATAAACACCTGAATAAACACCCTGGTAATCATTTCAGTCCACACCTAAACACGCACACATTCACTTTAACACGCACACCTTGCTCAACCTCCCATGTTGTGGACTCAGTTTAAGCCCAAAGCTGTTGTCCTGCTGTCCAACGTGATTAGAGAGAGGAGCAAATGATGTTTGAGACATTGCAGCGCGGTTCATCAGCAGGCGTGTGGTTGTTAGAGAGTGATCTACAGTACTGTCTCATCCACTCACAATAAATCTGTCCCTCAGCCCTTCTCTTCCTTCCTCCTCTTTCTGTGCTACTTGGCTCCGATCCCTTTGTGTCACTGCGATTATTTATAGCAGTATTATTTATGGTGGGCATTTATGAGTTTGTCTTTGGCCACACTTTGTAAAGAATGTTGGAGATCCTATTCGGCAAGATGCTGCTTATAATGATAGGAAAAAATTGTAATCGCACAGGGCTGGTGATCCTTTGCACAATGGATGGAAAACAGATTTGTTTCATGTCGTTTCTGCTTCATGTAATGAACATACTTTTTTGTCTTATTCCTACTTATACTTGCCAGATCAATTTTTATTTGACCTTCTTATACCTTCTCACTTTCTCAGGAGCGAGTGATTGAAAACCTGCGGGAACAAAAGGACCGGGAGGACAGGGTTCGGCTGGAGGAGCTGGAGCAGCTGAGAAAGGAGAACCACGAATTAAAAGACAAGCTGTCAGTCATGCAACCCCAGAAACAGCCTCAGAACCAGCTCGGTAACCCCAGCCCATCGCAGAACCAGAGACCAGATGGAGAGGTCAGTGTGGACTCAAGTCTATTGAACTGATGTTTAGATAATAGAAAACACAAGTGTGTGTGCAGCATGCATGGCTGTTACGTTTGGTTTTGCAGTCATTGAATACACTGTGAACACACAAGAGAGGTGGTCTGTTACGTGTGTGGACTGCAGACACACAACCATCAGTGCAACCACTATATGTTTGTTGTGCTTGTAATGTGCTTCCTGCACCTTGTACTTACTATGCTAACATTTACAATAAGAGTAATTCCACATTATTACCTCCCGTGAGCATCAACAGTATAGTTAGCAACTTCCTCGCAGAGGGCCTGCCTGCACTTTGTCTCACGGGATAAAAGGATGAATTAAGAGAGAGTGATTTATGGATCTGAGAGATCCTGTATCCCTGTGTGGGAGCCAAGTCGAAGGCCTTGCAATCTTTTTTCTCTCCGTCTTTCTTCTGCTAGGCTTACAAGCCTGGACAGACCCCTGTCCTGCCAGAATTTATGAGAATGTTTTCTTTTATACTCATAATAAGCGTACACACATCTCATTCCTGTGAAATGATATCTTCTTGAACGTTGATGCCGCACCACATGAAAGTGGCAGCAGCTCAATAACTTTTTGTAGCAAACAGATTCGCACTGTGGCAGAAGTGCTGCCATAATTAGGCTGTTTTGTGTACTCCACAGCAATCAAACCTGTTATGTAAACTTAGAGGTTCTTCAAAAAGACGGTTGTGTACCTGTATACATGCGTGTCTCTGTCGGCATGTCCCTGCATGCCGGCACAAAAACAACCGTTGATACGTCTGCTGTTTGTGTCTGCGTGCATTTAAATGTGGCGGTGTTGAGCCTGTAGTGCTGTGGCAAAGGACAGGCTGTGCTGTAAGTGTTTGGGAGGTCACTGGTGAATTATGTTGGCGCTTGATTAGATTCTGATCACACGTATCTACCACTCCTTCATGAGTCCTTCAGCGCAGAGACTTCTGCTGCTTTTACTTAACAAATTCTAGGTAT